GTAGTTGATGCCGCGGAAGAACGCCCTCATGTCGTGGTGTTGGCGTTGCAGCGTGCTATCCATCCGCTCCAAGTATTGGCCCATGCCGTCCACGGTGATGGTTAGCCGATTCAGGGTATCGGCTATGGACTGTAAGGAGGCCTTGGCGGGAGCGGGGGCTGGAGCCCGACTTGGTCCTGCGCCGTCTTGGTCTCCGGACGTCTTCCGGAAGGTGCTATCTTGGATGATCCAAATCTTCGTCATCTTCGTGCTTGGCCTGGCGATGTGGATGTCGGCGGAGACGATGAGGTCCATGACGAGGAAGGCGTATGGCAAGCTCCTTTCGGTGGCGATTGAGGCGCAATCTGCCATGTGGATCATGACGTATTTCGCCCAATTGATCGAAGCGCCATGGGTGATTGCATGAACGGCCTTGAGATCCTCGTTGAAGAGACACGTGTGGCTGCCGTCCCGGGGGCGAAGAATCCGGGTGAGGATGTAGAGTAGAAGGCGCTTCTCCAGCGGGGCTGAGTGAATGGTTGGTGCGCCGCTGTGACGGACGAGGTTGGTGATTCCAAGCTCTCGGATGACCACCGCCTCGTTGTTGAGGATCCAATCATCTCCGCCATATGTTGCGATGTCGTCACCGCGGGTGGGCAGCCCTGCGACCCGGGCAAAGGTAGCCAAATCAAACTCGAAGTCCACGAGATTGATGCTGCTGCGAATAGTGTCCCCGTCCCGGCGGAGATTGGAGTAGAAAGTCCGAACATAGGCGGGATTGAAGGAGGTGCGACTGCAGGAGACGAAGGGCCACAGACCCGACTCCTTGAGTTGATTGTCAAGGTCGTAGTAACCCTTCTGTTGAGGATATGGCTCGGGTAGCACCCTTGGCGGAGAGATGGGGCGCTTGGCGAAATAGGTGATGAAACGAGAGAGTTCCTCTTCCGACCCGAACTCCAAGAAGGATCCGTCCAGGTACGGAAAGGGTTGAGGCGCAGAGCTTGTGGCCTCGGCGACGGTCTTCTTCTTAGAGGCCTTGCTCTTAGATTTTCCTCCGGCCATAGCAGCGTTTTTGAAGAGAAGAAAGTGAAATTTGATTAGGAGATTGAAATATGGATGCAAATTGTGATTAGGAATGATAAAACAAGGTGTGTATATATAGGGAAGGAGTGGAAACCGAAAAGTGTTCAAAAAATATGACTGTTGGGCATTTAATTCGTTGCCCAACGGTTATAATTTTTTTGAATTTTGGCAGGCTCCCATCGATGGTATGATCTAACCATCGATGGGATGATCATCACTGGAAAGCACGGAAGAAATTAAGGCTGCCTTCCCATCGATGGTCAAACTCACCCATCGATGGGAGGGTGGCTACTGGAAATCCGTTAAAACGTTTTTAAAAAAAAGAAGTGTCAAACACCCAGCGATGGGAAAAACTTCCCATTGATGGGAGGGGAGGTTCCGGAAAAAAGTGTTTTTGAGAAAAGTCCTTTACCCAGCGAGGGATGAAGTACCCATCGATGGGTAGGGTGTTTCTGGAAATACGTTAAAAGGTTTTTTTTAAAAAAAGAGTCAATTACCCATCGATGGGAAGAAACACTCATCGATGGGAAGAGGGGTTCTGAAAAAAATATCACTTCCCTCCCAGCGATGGTACAATCCACCCATCGCTGGTTCCCCCTGATTCCCAGAATTCTTCACTTCGAACCGTCCCTGCAAAAAAGAGTTAGAAAACCCTCTGACGCTCAAGTTAGTAAACGTTCCAGTAACAATTAAAGAATGATAAAATGCACAAATTAGATCATCGTGGAGTCAAGGATTCCGAGTTCACTACGAATGCGGAAGAACGACTCTTTCTCTAAAGGTTTTGTGAAAATGTCGGCTAATTGGTTGTGTGTTTTAACAAACTCAATTTCGACATCACCTTTAAGAACATGATCTCTAATGAAATGGTGCCTAATGTCAATGTGTTTCGTCCTTGAATGAAGAACGGGGTTCTTCGTCAAGCTAATGGCGCTAGTATTGTCACAACGAAGAGGAACGTGACTGATACTAAGGCCATAGTCCACGAGTTGTTGCTTCATCCAAAGGATTTGAGCACAACAACTACCTGCGGCTACATATTCCGCTTCGGTTGTGGATAACGCAACACTGACTTGTTTCTTGCTAAACCATGAAACTAAAGAGCTACCAA